TCCTGGGTTTAGTCCTGGTTTAGTCCTGGTTTAGTCCTGGTTTAGTCCTGGTTTAGAGTCCTGGTTTAGTCTGGTTTAGTCCTGGTTTAGTCCTGGTTTAGTCCTGGTTTAGTTTTAGTCCTGGTTTAGTCCTGGATTAGTCCTGGTTTAGTCCTGGTTTAGTCCTGGATTAGTCCTGGTTTAGTCCTGGTTTAGTCCTGGTTTAGTCCTGGTTTAGTCCTGGTTTAGTCCTGGTTTAGACCTGGTTTAGTCCTGGTCTCGTCTTCGTCGTCCTGAGCCCAGAGACAAAACACTTTCCTGGGGAGGAGGAAAGTCTGGTTGAAAAGAGACAGAGAGACGGAAGAACAGAAACAGAGGAGAGAGGAGGGAGGGAAGGAGAGGAGGATGAGAGACAGGGAGGGAGTGAGTGAGGGAGAAAGAACGAAGAGAGGCAGAGAGAGAGAGAGAGAGAGAGAGAGAGGGAAACAGAGAAGGAGGAAGGGAGGGAGAGAGGTAGGAACAGAGGGAGGGAGAGAAAGGGAGAAGTGGGAGAAAAAGAGGAAAGGAGAGAGAAGGTGGGACCGAAATGGGGGGAAGAGAAGCAGTGAGAGAGAGAGAGTGATAGAGGGAGGAGGGAGAGAGAGAGGGAGAGAGTGATAGAGGGAGGAGGGAGAGAGAGAGGAGAGAGGGAGGAGAGAGAGGAGGAGAGAGTGATAGAGGGAGGAGGGAGAGAGAGAGGGAGAGAGTGATAGAGGGAGGAGGAGAGAGAGAGAGGAGAGAGAGAGAGAGTGATAGAGAGGAGGAGAGGAGAGAGAGGAGGGAGAGAGTGATGAGAGAGGAGGGAGAGAGAGGAGAGAGAGAGGGAGAGAGTGATAGAGAGAGAGAGGAGAGGAGAGAGAGAGGGAGAGAGTGATAGAGGGAGAGAGAGAGAGAGAGGGAGAGAGAGAGAGTGAGAGAGAAGGAGAGAGAGAGGGAGAGAGTGATAGAGGGAGGAGGGAGAGAGGGGGAGAAGAGAGTGAGAGAATTATGGATGAGAAGGGGAGGTGATGGAGAGAGAGAGAGTGATAGAGAAGGAGGAGGAGGAGTGACTTAAAGGTTTTATGGAGGATTTTTTTTAGTTTCAAATTGTCAGTGAAAGATTAAAACATCATTACAGAGACGCAGCAGCTTTGTAATTATGACCAAAAAAAAAAAAAAGAACGAAAATCTATAAACTGTGGACGTGTTGAGGCCAGATAAACATCAGCCAATAGAAAACGAGGCTGCCTCATTTTCTATTGGCTGTTGGGTTGTCAGTCAAACTCCCTAGTGTAACTGACTCGTCGGAGCGCGGGGATCACGTGGTTTACGCAGCGGTTCTAAAGGTTCGTTCACACCAAAGCGTCAAATCGTCCAGTTTCTATGTAAAGTCGATGTGGACGCGCGACTGGAGCGTCCGGCGTTTTTGCGTCTTGAGCGTTTTGGCGTCAGCGGCCAAGACGCGCGTCCGAGGCGTCAGCGTCAAGAAGTTGAAAATGCTGAACTTTTTGCGTCAGACGAGCCGCGTCGACCAATCAGGGACGAGTATCCAGAGACGCAGCGACGTTATTATCAGGAAGAAAAACCCCAGAACCAGAACGAGAAACACAAACATGAACGGAGAATAAATATACACCACAATCACCGAGCCGATCGCGAGGACTACACCAGGACCGGACCAGGACTAAACCAGGACTAGACCAGGACTAAACAAGGACTAGACCGAGACTAAACAAGGACTAGACCGAGACTAAACAAGGACTAGACCGGGACTAGACCGTGATTAGACCAGTATTAGACTGGGACTAGACCATGACTGATCCAGTGTCATTAGTGGAGTATAAATATAAACTCGCTCCAGTCGTGGACCCGATCTCCTCCGCTGATGTTTTATGTCATAAAAACACTAAAGTCTCAGTCTGGTCTGACATTGTTTCGGGAAAAGTCCAGGACCGGGCTCTTGTTTCCAGGGCAACGGACGCGCGTCAAGTATTTTTGTCCCATTCGTCCGCGGCGTCAAAGTCGCGGGCGTCTGAACTCAAATGCAAAGGCTCCAAATAGAGGCGTCAAGGCGTTTTTGACGCTTTGGTGTGAACGACCTTTTAGAGGCTTTTTCGAACTGTCGCTTCCTCGCATTTCGCACAAAGTTTGTCGCGACAGCGGACGAGAATCCACGACCGGTTCGCCGCAAAAGAAAGTCCGTTTTTGAGGTCGCTGAAAGAAGAAGAGACGGGGAAAAGGAGCAAAGCCAAACTGAGGTGATTCTTGGAGATCTCGTCCAGCGATGGTGCGACCGAAGCAGACGAAGGGTCTAAAAACGGACGCGTCGGTCGCTGAATTACTTCTAGACAGGAAACTTCAACAGTGATTCTGAACGCGCACAAGGACGGTCGCTGTATTTCTCTTCCCTTAAAAAAATCCCCTATACAAGCTTTAATTGAAGTGAGCGTGTGTTGAGTTTCTCTGTCAGTGGCAGAGTGGTTGACCTTTGACCCGTGTGTCGTCCTCGGTCACGGCGGCGAGTTTCTACATTTGACCCGAAAACTCCAACTTTAGAAAAAAAACAACAACAAAACAAAACAAGTTAAACTGTTTTTAGAATATAAACACTTTCAAATGACCAGATACTTTTTTTTTATCCTTATTTTTACTTTTGGATTTGGATTTCCTCTCCTCTTTTTCTTTTTTTCTCTCTTTTTTTCGTTCTTTCTTACCGTCTTTCTTCATGAGGTTGTGAGTCTGAATAGAGTGAGAGAAAAGGAGCTGAAAGGACGTGTGTGTGTGTGTGTGTGTGTGTGTGTGTGTGTGTGTGTGTGTGTGTGTGTGTGTGTGTGTGTGTGTGTGTGTGTGTGTGTGTGTGTGTGTGTGTGTGTGTGTCTGTGTGTGTGTGTGTGTGTGTGTGTGTGTGTCTGTGTGCGTGTGTGTGTAATCGTCTTTTGTGTGAAATGCAAATCACTCAAACAGAGACACATGGAGCAAAACTTTTCACACGTTGAACTTGTTTAAACCTGAAGCTCCTCCGCGTTTTTAAAGTCAAACTGCAGAGCGACAGGTCCTCGTTCTGGTCTGAACCTTCAACATGATCCTCGGGTTTTTATTTCAGTATTTTGTCCAGGACTGAACCAGGACTAAACCAGGTCTAAACCAGGTCTAAACCAGGACTAAACCAGGACTAAACCAGGTCTAAACTAGGACTAAACCAGGACTAAACCAGGTCTAAACCAGGACTAAACCAGGTCTACACCAGGACTAAACTAGGATTGAACGAGGAGAATTAAACCAGGACTAAACCAGGACTAACCTTAGACTAGGACTTGGACTCTAGGACGGCCCCTAAGTGACCCCGTGTTCACCCGTTGGTGTTGGCGGGTGCACCTCCGGGTTCGTCCCGACACTCAGAACTTTAACGATGTCGTTTCACCGCTGCTGATGTCGTCGTGATTTTAGAGAAAACGCACCACTTCAGTCCAGGTTAAAAAAGTGACGCGTCACATTTGTACCGACGAAAATATTCGTTTTTCCCTGTAAAGTCACATGACTGTGACGCGTTACAGTAACTCTCCCAACATCGGTAATAACGGACCAATCAGGCGTCTTCTTTCCCCGAGGTCGCTCCCGTTACCGTTAGCAACAGGTTTGATTGACAGCGACTGGCTCTTTGGTTTTACACCCAGTTTTCCAAATATGGGTGTGGCTGTATTTCGCTCTGCAGGCCTCAGTGAGCTTCATTGGGCTGGAGCTCGATGGGAAAAGACTCATGTAACGTGAAATGACCTTCATCGTCTGTGTCGCCCCCTGCAGGTGACGGGCACCATGGCGTCTCTGCGCTCGGGTCTGCAGCAGCATCTGGAGCGTCTGGACGAGATCTTCTCCACCAGAGGAGACTTCGTACAGTCGCTCAGGTAAAACTCCACATCCTCACGTCATAAAGTTTAAAGGAACAACAACAACCACAACAGAACCTTCACCAGGCTCACGTGAAGCTCACAACCTCCACACCTCGTCCCTGAGCTGCAGAAGCTGCACTAGCACTGACTCATGCTGCTGCAGGTTCTGGAGTTTGAGGAGAGACCATCAGATCAGAGAGTTTCTCTTTTAGCTGGATTACAACTTTGAACCTGCAACTCAAACGAGAGTCACATGAGGCTCATTCTGTGTTCTGATTGGAGAATCATCTGGAACCAAAACACCAAATTAGAACAGAAATAAACGAGACATGTGCAGTGTTTCTGTGATGAAGAATAAATCCGTTTTAGAACAGTTGTCAGTTTATCTCTTTATATTTGATCAGAACATGTTCCTCGTGTTTGGAGAAACAGACGTCACTTTTATGAAGTTTAAAAACTAAATCTTATCATTCCTTTTAGAGCTCGACCAATATGGATTTTTTGTGGCCTTTAGCGGTAAATGCTGCGCACCGCGGTAATTAATTATGTGTAAATGTGGATCATTCACACATCAGTGCAGGTCCAGTCACATGTGCACAGACACTAGAGTCACTTTACACCAGAACAATGTGAAAAAACAGAAACAGCTGATGTGGAGCTACAGCAGATCAACAAGAAACAACCAAACCCTCCCACAGGCTCCTCTCAGATCACAAGTCTGAACTCAGAAGTTTGATCAAAACAACAGTAGTTTTGTTTCTGGTCTAAACTTTGCTGAAGTTCACTTTTACTTCTCGTCAGAGTCGTGGGTCAGACACACGAGGGTTTAAACCCTCAGTGTCGTGCACGTGGATCTGTGGCTGTGCACGTGTGTAAACAAGAACATGAGTGATGTGACTCTGTGGTGCGTTCAGGGACAGTACGACGTCACACACAGACAAATGATTTGTACATTTATGTGTAAACTGGATTAAATGGACAGAATATACAGAGTGTGAGATTTATAACCTGAAGTGTGACCTGCCCACGAAGACCAGCCCAGGTCCACAAGATTTAATCTGATAGACAATATGTCTCCAAGTGCTCATATAAACCGATATATCGGCCAAACGATAT